TCCTGTCAGCTCAGGTGAGGCCAATACTCACCTGTGTCTTTGGCCCCGCCCACAGCATCGAGCTGGACGAGCCCCCATTGGTGGAGACGGCAGCCAATCTGTTCAGAGCGAGCTGCTACCGTTACAGGGAGGAGCTGACAGCTGGGATCCTGGTGGCAGGCTGGGACAAGAGGAAGGGCGGGCAGGTGAGACCGCACACCGCCTGGACACATGCGCTGGTGTAGTCCTTTGTGTGGCCAGCAGATGGTGCTGTTTCCACCCTGCAGACTGTAAAGCATCGTCTGTGTGTTACCTGTCTCAGGTGTACAGCGTCCCGATTGGTGGGATGTTGGTGAGGCAGCCGGTGTCGGTGGGCGGCAGCGGCAGCACCTACATCTACGGCTTCATGGACGCCAACTACAAACCCGGGATGAACAAAGAGCAGTGCATGGAGATCACCGCCGCAGGTAACGCACCGCCGCTGCTGCAAGGCATGCTGGGAGCTGCACTCCACAACCGTCTCGCTGACTCACTGTCTCTCCTCAGCTCTGTCTCTGGCCATGGAGCGGGACGGCTCCAGCGGGGGCGTGGTCAGGCTGGCCAGCATCTCGGAGGAGGGGGTGGAGCGACGCGTCATCCTGGGAAACCAGCTGCCCAAGTTCTCCACACACTGAGCGTGCTCCGTTCCACTCACGTGTCTGTTATGTTAATAAAGTTTTCATTTTGTCTCTTCACTGTCGTTGTCTCATTGATGCTAAAATAACCAATCACACCAATACCATGGGTCACTTTGTGGGTGCAGTTCCCCGAGTGTCCAGCAGAGGGAGACACAGACTCAGCAGTGAGCTGAGTGCTTACAGTCAGGACAAGTTTGAGGTCAAAGGTCAGATCCTCAGGGGGTGTGGCACAGCCCGAGTCTCCTCTCTGAACACTGCTTTGAAGGTTTTATCTCATGTGTCCGCGCAGACCGGCGTCTGTCTACAGAAATAAAGGAGTTTAAAAAAGTCGCCTTTCATGGAGGCGCTTAGAAACGCTTCAAGCTGTGCAACAGGAAGTGCAGCTACCCACTGTCTTAAAGTGCTCGACGGCTGAGTTGGCCTTTTCTGACTGAAACGTTTTCCGTGATGAAGCGACAGGCCTCGTCTTGCTGATGCCACTGTCAGTGTTGTTACTTTGAAGTGTCGTCTGTGGCTGAT